TGTTTTGCCCACCAGCGAATGCGCATGCGCGAAATCGGACTCTTTTGTTTACAAACACGATCTCCCCTATAAGGAAAATTAAAAACAATAAAGTTTTATGGCTGAGTTTATGGTACTGAATTATCACGACGAGACAATTAAACCGCCTTCTATACGGTAGCCAGGTTGTCTTTCTCACGAATGACTATCCTATCTTGAAAGGCAAACAATTTCCTGGAAATATTTGTAATACGGGTTATATAGCAGCCGTATTTTTCAGTTTGATTTACTATAACAAAAGTAAATTGGTCCATTTTCTTATACCACGTTACTCGTTAAAGCCTTATATTGCAAAGATTCGTCGTTACTATTGCACAAAGCCAGAGGTCCTGAATTACGGGAAATATACGGTGTGTGTGTGTGTGTGTGGGGGGGGGGTGCACGTTTAAACATAGCTGTAAGATAACCTTGGAGTCGTGCATTTCATTCAAAAATCTTTTTGCGATGGCGGTGTTTAGAGTTTATGTTGATGGCCTCTCTGAATTTATATCTTGTTTATTTGATACAATGAACTGGAAATAATGTTGTTGGTTTTTGTTTGTGTGGTTTTTGTTGTTTTTGGTTTTATTTGTTTTTCTTGGGGGGGGGGTTATTTTGTTGTTGTTTTTTTCCCAATGAATACAAGCATTTCAATATTATAAATTAAAAAAAAAATAATTTACAACTCTTGTTGATAGTTAATTTATATATAATGGTTATGAAACATAGATATCCGTCCGTGCTGCATGCTCTTTTATACGGCAGTTAGGCAAAGATAACGAAATCTTTACCAGCAGAAAAAAATGAGAAAGAGAGAATAAACAAGTAAGAAAGTTTGATATATTTTATTATGATAATCTATCCATTGTGTTTCTTGTCTTATCTCAGTTTATAGCATTGCTTCTCCGCGAATCTGCCTGAAATTATTTATATAAATGAGCTGCGTCACGACAAAACAAACATAGTGCGTTTGCGACCAGCATGGATCCAGACCAGCCTGTGCATCCGCGCAGTCTGATCAGGATCCATGCTGTTCGCTTACCAACTCTATTACTAAGTAGAGAAACTGATAGCGAACAGCATGGATCCTGCGCGGATGCTGGTCGCAAACCCATTATGTTGGTTTTGTCGTGACGCGGCTAAAATTATAAATGAAGCATCCAAGCAAGATCATTATCTTATTACAATACCCCATCCGATGTTAGTCATCCATGACACATTATTTCTGAGTAAACAAAATTAGAAATGCCGCTACATGGAAAGGTAAAACTGACCGGATTCTTTAATGTGAAGAATAAATAAATAAATAAAAACGAGTTTATGTGATTAAGTTGTATATACATGTACACTGTATGCTACTTTGAGGACACGGAAACAGTAAACTTTATTACGATTTGTTTTTGTTGATGTTTTTGTTTGTTTTTGTTGTTTTTTCACGAATAAGTAAATTTACAAATTTACAAAATCTTTTAAGTGATGTCTTATATTTGTTTCATTAAAAGTGAAAAATATAATCTCCAAAATATGTTCTCCGTTTTCTTTTTCATTACTCTATGTTTATTTGCTCTACTTCTTCAATTTCTCAACGAAAATAAAAGGAAAAAAAAAGAAAGAAAGAAACAGGCATGCTATCATGTGACGGTATAGCGTGTTTTTGCTGTTTCATAATGAATATCCACAGGCGGCCCTACATCAAAGACATTTTTCTTTTTATTCAATTTGATTTGGAAAAGGGAAATTCCCTTTCAGGTTTAAATTTAGAAAAATTTTAAATATATCTAACAAAAAAGTTTTTGAACAATTTTCTGGCCCCCGACTTTATCTAATTTTTTTTTTCCAAAAGTTTTTTCGCTTTTTATGAATTTTCATGAATTTTTATAAATCCGTGTAAAGGGGGCCCTGGGACGTTTAACTTTTCAAATTTCCCAAATACCGGGCAATGAAAAAGTCTTAAAACAAAAAAAAGCCTGCAAACCCTTTTTTAATTTTGTTTCCCTTTTTTGGGCCCTTCCCTTTAAAGGGGGTGTTTTTTTAATTTTTTTTTTTTGTTTTTGGGGGAAACTTATAAAAAAATACAGAGCTTAACCCTGATTTCCGAAAGATACAAAAAGTTTGTTTTAAAGTTATTGCTCCCGACAGGTTTTTAAACCATTTGGAAGTATTACTTTTGGGAAAAAAAGATTATGTTTGGGTTTAAAAATTTAAAAAGGTTTGTTGGCCAAAAAGAGGGTCGCTCTGAGAGGTTGTAATTTTTTACAAAGTATTTTTAAAATGTATCTATGTAGACCTTTAAAATGTGTTTTGCATGTTATTGAAAATAAAAAAAAAAAACAATTTTTTTAAAAACTTTAATTTGCCCTTGGGTTTTTTTTATTGCTTTAGCTTTTTGGCCACGTCATAAAGATTTCCAAAAAATCCTGTAAAAGAAAATTTTAGATTTTTGTAACCCAAAAGGGGCCATTTTTTTTAATTTTTTTTAAATAACCTTTGGGGTTTTTAAAGGGTTTCCCCGGATTCCCGGGTTTAAATTAGCTAATCACCAAAAACCCCAAAAACCCCCTCACTTTTACAAAATTTTAAACCCCATTTCTGTTTAAAGCTGTCAAAAATTTTACCAAAGGACCCAAAAAAAGGAATTTTTTACCCCCTTGTCTCAATGCCTTTTTAAAAGGGCCATCTCTTCATAAAAAGTGCCCCCTTTTAAAAAAACGATTAGCTTTTTAAATACACTTAAATAAAAAAACCCAAACTCTTTTTTAAGATTTTTTTTTGTAAAAAAAGAGCAATTTTTTTAAACCCTTAAAATTTTTTGTTTTAAAATTCTAAAAAATGCCCCCTTTAAATTTAAGGCCAATTTGTTTTTTTTGGGGGTGTTAAATTTGGGCCCGAACATTTAAATTTTTTTTAAATTCCCTTTTTGTGCTTTAAAATAGGAAAAGAATACCTTTTTAAATTTTTATCCCAAATAATTTTAACCAAAAGTGGCGGGAAAACTTTTCCCCGGGAAAATGTAATAAAAGCGCAATTTTTTGGTAGTTAAAATGTGATTAAATCGGCAAAAAAATTGGGGCCCCTGAATTTTTGCAGAAAATAGAATTTTTTTCCCGAATTCGAAAAAAAACCTTTTTTTTGTTTTTTTTTTGGGAAAAAGGAAAAAACCCAAATTACAGCAGTTTTCCCCCTCCTCCGAATGGCCCAAAATTTTTAAATTACCTTTTAAAGTAAATTTTCCAAAGTCATAAAAAATATTTTACCAAAGTCCCAAAATTTCGGGATATTAAAAAGTCCAATTTCCTCAATAATAGCCATTTTTATTTTTACAAAAAGGTTTAAAGAAAGTTAAAATTTTAAAAATTGATTTGGGGTCTTAATTTTGGGTTTTGGTTTTAAAGCTTTGGTGCTTTGTGCTTAAGATAGCTTGGTGCTTTATATTGTTTTTTTGTTACAATATCATGAATAATTTTATTATATCTAAATGAATATTTTTATATCTTAAATGCATGCAGGATATTATTTTTTATGTAACTCTGTAGATTCTTATTCTGGTTTTAATTTTGTTCTGGAATTTTATTCAGCTCATCTGAAATGTTAATCTTTATGCTGCAGGTAACTGCATGCAACTCTGCATCACGGAGACATCTTAATCGTATGTTGAGATAAGTTCATAATTAACCCAAAGAATTATATTAAACAGCAAGAGTCTTGGAATCGTACGATCCGCTCACATGGCGTTTCACCGTTATCAGTCAATGTAGCAATATGATAAATTAATCAAAGGACAGATAATTTTCCCATAACATGTAAATCTAATGATGTAACACATAATGATGAAAACAAGATATTGTTTTTTATAGTTTTGAACTTGGTAACTCCTATAATGCCTAACAGCAAACGTTATGTAACCCTTCCACTATGCACTTAAGATATACGAACATAAATGTAAATTGATTGTGTTTAAACACCATGGGCCCGTTTTACTTACATTTTTAAAAGTTTTTTTCATAAGTATTTTCGTAACTTTACGCTTACGTATGAACTTATGTAAATCGTGTATGTATTAATTAATTAATTGATTTTATGGAGTTCTTAATAACGTTAACCATAGTGAAGATTATACCCAATTGTTAAATAGCTCCAAATACATGGACTTTCAACAAGTTGTTAAACATTTCTGACTACAAAATGCTTTAAAACTCTGTGTATTTGTTAGAAAAATCATGAGCTGTTTTTAGATAAACTTTTGCTGACATGTATATAATTATATTTTTTGTTATAAAATGTTTGCATACAATTACTTGATATACTAATGTAAGAAATAATAACATATTAACTGTTAATAATAACAGCTCCTACCATGCGCCACAAGAAAGGCATTCCATAATAGACTATGCCGTTCACCGGCGTCGCCAATATATCACTTCATTCTAAGTAATAAAATACTCGACGGTTTACAGTCAGAGCCAGCAGACTTGTTACGTTTAACGTATTTAATTGCACATAACGTAGTATAATATTTAATTAACAACTATAACGCTTAACGAATACAATGTGACTGGTAGCTTTTCTGCATGGTCTTTGCTTTATCATATCAAATCATTGTAGGAGGACGAACTACTGGAGAGTGGTATATCAAGAAATATCTAATTTTCATTTTTAATAAATAAGTTTATAACGATAATAATAATAATATAATTATGATTACACATGTAGTAATAATGACACATAATAAAGATAAAACTTACTTGACTTTAAGGACGAAGCATTGTACAAAATACAAATAACATATCTTAATTTTAAAAATGACCCTTTCAAGTTTGTTTGTAGCTTAAACACGAACGTTACATTTTCGTTTTTCTTTGTTGGTTCTAAAATGTGTCCAATAATCTAATAAATTTCATATACATGCATAGATATGACAGGTTAAAATCTCTCTAAATAAATGAAGTCCATATACATATATACACATGTATATATATTTGCAGTTGCTGCCGACACTGAAGGACCAAAGTGCGACCCACCATGGGAAAAGCTTCACAGGACGTGTGTACAGTTCATGAAAGCGAAGCCATTTTCAACTTGGCAAAAAGCTCGAGATTCCTGTATTAGTATGAAGGCTGACCTTTTCAGTGTTAACGACAAAGAGGAAAATGTAAGTGTTTATAATATTTATGATTATTTAATTTCCGATTGGTCCCTTATGTTTGCACAGTTACTGGGTATTGCATTAAAATTATGGATGGCGTCACAATGCCGACAAACAAACAAGTCGTTCAATAGACTTGTTTCTTTAGTCAGATTTATACTGACGGATCCTTTTGCATTCAGAAAAGCCAAATCTACTTTTCATCCACGGTAACTTTTAGTTTATGTCGCCTTGTCTTGTTTATCTTTTTCATATTCTATTAACTGTTTTTTGGGGTATTTTTTAATTGTTTTTTTTCGGTGTCATGACCATGGTAACTTTCCGGTGTCCTTTATTTTATACCATATGGGTTATCTCATTAAAGTATCAAAAATTATGTAAAATTTAGTAAAAATAATATTTATTTTTCGAAATGTGAAATTATAAAGATTTAGAGTAGATTTACGCTAACTTTTCTTGTTCAGGCTATTTAACTTTTTATTCTATCCGAAAAAAACTCTTTGGAACGAACTCATTATTATTAGAATATAGTATGGCCGTTGCCCCAAATGAACGATATTCAAGACAGTTTTATTGGGTATAAAATTTGCATATTCCTGTTTCTTTCTTATACTTAGAGCGCATGTATAGAGTCCCTATATATCGTTTGGTTTTAAATGAAAACAAATAAAAGCAATTGAAATATGTTTTTTATTTTGAAAAAAAGTTATTTAATAAAATAATGTGCTGAGTATGTATACATATAAACAGTGATCGCCAGTCTTGACGTCGTACGACAGCCCCAACACTGCCGTAGAGCTGTAACATTTTCTACGACGTCGGTCCTTACCGGTCTGCGACATGTCTGCGACAAAAACTAGCCTACGACGTGTCGTAGCGCGTTAATAAGACGCCTCCCCCCCCCCCCTGATGCCTCTTAAGGCCGAATGGTTGCCTTTAAGAGTTGAGGCATCAGAATCGCAGCCACCGTTTTACCGTGCGTGGTTGTAAGAGGTGACAAAATGAGTTCTAATTACTTGAGTCTATGCATGTTTTATTTTCAGGGAAAGTTGAAACCTCTAGTGAGGACACATGTGCGTAGTAGGGACACACTCCAGTGGTGGATTGGAATACGTGAAGTTGGACCCTCCTGGCTGTGGTTGGATAATGACGAGCAATATGCAAAAATACCGTACGTTCGTTTTAACTGATTTATACAGATTTATACACTTGATGGTTATAAAATGCCTTATCTGTTAACAATAAATTATCAAAACTAAAATAGGATGTAAATAAAAACACAGAAAAAGGTTATGCAAAAGTAAACATTTCAAGTTAAATACATGATAAGGAAGGTAATATCCCTCTTTCATTTTTTTAATAGACCCTGTAGATTTTTCAATGAGATGGAAAGGTCTATTATTTTTAATATTAAAAGATATACAGACGCGTAATCGTTAAAATAAGGCTAAGTCCAAACTATTTTTTGACTGAAAAGCAACTTCCGAGAAAAGGGATATTGCAATATCATTGACATAGAAGAAGAGTTCCATTTCATTCTGAAACGTAGGAAATATGACGATTTTCATACAAGAGTTAGGAAATATTCGTACGAAAATCCTAGCAAATTTAAAGAACTATTGAATCAAACAATCAATACTTAAGAAACTTGCTCTTGATATAATGAAACTTCCTCTATACACAAAAGGCTTTTTAAGGTTTATGTTAAATATGAAATAAGACAATGTTTTTTTTTTCGCTGATTTTTTTTCTGTACCTCTACTTTTAATTCTTTATTTCAATCAATTATAATTATGTATTTGTAGATAATTGCACTATATGAATAGCGTATTTAATTTATTGTTTTTTGTTGTTTTTTGCCACTGTTATTACTTGTAATTATGTAGCTATGTTAAATCCATTACCATACTTTTCTGTACTTAAATAGTATGTATGTTGTGTACATGTATTTATTACTAAATTTGTAATTGTATATGCAATGTTTTATGTTGAATTATAAACCTCCATTCATAAAACTTGGCGATGAACGTGTAAAATGTTTATGCCAATAAACTATTTGACTTGACTTTGACTATGTAATTGACTATGTAATTATCTGTTTATGTCTAAGAGCTTTTGATGCTTAAGACAAATACATTTATGCTATTGTATGTAAATATTAAAATTAAATGGACTTTTCTATTTCATTTCAATTCACTGTATACAAAAGAAATATCTTTTTTTTGCATTCTGTTAAAGATATTCTTGCATGTATAATTAATTTCTAATAAGATGTATTTCATACTATAGACTTTAGAACTATTATTTCATAATTGTATGGGTTTTTATATTTACACATATATGTATGCTAAATATACAGAAAAATTTTGAGTTTGACTTTGAAAATTAGCAATTGAGCAATCGGATGATAAAATATATGAACTTCTTTTTCATTTTTCTTTTATGGAAACTGCCATTACCAGATGTTTAAAAAATAATTTTGATCAATATATTTCAGTGAATGGGCCGCTGGTTCGGGGCGCTTTCAAAACACACCAGGAAAATGCGGTCTTTATACTTTCAGTGGAACACTGGAAGAAGCGGATTGCGACCAAGAGAAACATTACATATGTGAACAATTTAAAGGTAACTTAGACCCCAAAAAAAGCGCTTCGATTACATATGTTTTATCTTTAATCTTTATGTACCTTAAAAATTCTTTTTTTATATCAGTAAAGCGATAAATATATTTTATCCGATGTAAAGATGTACTAATTCATGCTGTGAAAAGTAAAATTATATTTAATACTTTCATATCGAAATTATCAAAACATAGTTTCTAAGTAGCTAAACTTTATTTCGAATCACATGAATAAGACGCTTTGATCTGATATTATCCCCTACCTGACTCATCTCTCTCCGGTCCCTGTTACAAACCCTCAAAAATATGATCTAAAGTCAATTTCCACATTTAGTATTCATAACAACAATAATAGGACACTATTACACACTTTTCATTATACCTCTATAGTATTAGTTATACAAAGGTAACAACTATTTCGCCCTTCTAGCGCTTTGATTCTATTCAATATCATAACTCAGCTAAATCTCTACTGTATATATTTTTCAAAACTTGCTCTCGGTCAATAAAGTATAGATATATGTATGCAATGACATCTTCCATATTAAGCTGTGTTAAGTATTTCGTTTTATACGAACACCGAAACAGACGGTAATGTGAAATTTGACAAGATCTGATTCACGTAAACATTGAAAGTTCCACGACTGAATCGCTAAAAGAGGCAATGTTGCGTAAGAAATACCATTGCATCTTATCCCTATGTTTCGAATGCGAATTAAAAGAATATATGAATGAACATTTCGGTAGACATGCACTTCGTCGTAAGTTCATGGAAAACCGCAAATGATTGATCAAATGCAACAAAGTTCGAGACATTTTACATTGCGGTATAATACAGCTGCGCGAGTGGATGCAAGTGCGACGTCATTTAAAGTTTTATAGCGCGAACGTTTAGAGGGAAGAGATGAATGAAATTTGACGATTCGTTGAGAATAGTTGGTAAGTTGTCAGTTTCTCCAACTTTTATGTTTCTTTTATCATTGCAATTATTTTTGTCCATCTTTACCATTTTTTCTAATGGTTTGTTTTGTCTTATGATTTTAGAATTTAGAAAATATGTACTGACTCTTTAAGATGAAGAGCTGATGGTACTCACTAGTGGTCACCACATTTATGGTGACTGATTGACAGATAGCGCAATATTTATGGAGTCTGATTGACGGATATGACCACGTAAATAGAATGAAATTGACAGGTAGCACCACATGTATGGAGACTAATTGACAGCGTAACATTAATAGAGTCTGATTGACAGGTGGCACCATATTTATAAAGTCCGAATGACAGATAGCACCACATTTACGGATTATGATTGGAAGATAGCACCACATTTACGGAGTATGATTGGAAGATAGCACCACATTTACGGAGTATGAATGGAAGATAGCACCACATTTACGGAGTATGATTGACAGTAAGAACCACATTTATTGAGAATGATTGACAGATAGCACCACATTTACGGAGTATGATTGGAAGATAGCACTTCATTTATTGAGAATGATTGACAGATAACACCTCATTTATTGAGAATGATTGACAGAAATCACCATATTTATTGAGAATGATTGACAGTTAGAACCACATTTATTGAGAATAATTGACAGATCCACACAAATGGAGTCTGGTTGACAGATAGCACCACATTTATGGAGAATGGTTGACAAAGATGAATTAATGTATATATTGTTATGAAACAATTCAATGGTTAAATACAAAGTACTGCAATCTGTTACATAATGTTGGACGTTTTGGCTTTAATAAAATAATGACACAAGTTTTCAATTGTTATTATTTTTACTAGTATCACCGTTACAGTAATACCAATACCTTAGCACATAGTAACTTCCGTTATACTCTCATTTTTTTCATACTTCACAAGACATTGCAAGGATCAATGCATATGTCGAGTGCATAAAATAAATAACCATGATTCGTAACATAAACTTGAATTACTGCCAAACACTGCATTTTTTGAAATTTAGTCGTAAAACAATGTTTAAATTGATTTAAATGTTAACTGTAAGATGTACATTACACTTATAAATATACTTTGATGCAGAATAAAAAAGGTAACTAAACATAATTGTACGGATTGGGTTCGTTTGAATGCCTAATTTACGTCATGTTTTACACCCCAAAATCATAAAAAAATATTATTTGAAAGACGTAATCATTACAACTATGAATTCGGACGTTTTATAGATTTTGACAATGAACCAACACTTGATGTTAGTACAGTAAGCACATGAGTTTATGTTGCTCATACTTTTTTGAATACAAAAATTACATTTTCTGTTAAAATCAATGACGTGCAAAAATATACCGACCAAATATACTCTTTTTCGGGCAAATTACCAATATATTTCATTTTGTAGATATATTCCGGTATATCAGGCAAATGATCAATATATTAGAATCATTTCGAAGATATCTATATCAGCAAAAAATCAATATATCAGACCCATTGTGTAGATATATATCAGGCAAAATAATCATATATCAGAAACATTGTGTAGATATATATCAGGCAAATAATCAATATATCAGAACCATTAAGTAGATATATATCAGGCAAATAATCTATATATATCAGAACCATTTTGTAGTTATACATCAGGCAAATAATCAATATATCAGACCTATTATGTAGATATATAACAGGCAAATAATCAGTATAATTATAATATCATGCTGACACTTATAAAATTGAGGCTTTAGATATGATGAAGTCATTTAATATCAGTATATTATCGTCTGTCGATTTTTGTTGATCAGCACATGTTTTATTGTATTTCTATTAGTAACGACTGATCCAACGACCTCAACTTCATCACCTAGTACAACAACAACAACAACAAACGCGACAACGAAAGAGACGTTAACATCGACAACAAATAAGATGTTAACATCGTTTCCGGTTCCCGTTACTCAACCAGTTGAACAAAGTACGCGAGCTTCTGTCACAAAGTCCACGGTAAAACCAATAGATCTAACAACAGAAAAGGCCACTTCAGTCGCAACCGATAAACAAACTACGAACCCACCAACAGAATCATATACTACAACAGTCATAAGGAAAGGACCTCCAACAGACAGAATAACTAGTATCTCAGTAGATACAAACACTACTGAACAAACTACTAAAGAACTAAATCAGTCCACTCGTACTAAACTGATCACAAAAACTACGCCAGTAAAACCGACTAAACCGTCAACAAAGAAACCAGTTGTAAGTACGACAGTAGATGTTCTTGAACCTTCAACAAAATCATCACTGCAACAAGAAAAAGAAAAGTTTGTGGTGAGTATAGTTAATAATAAAACAACACACATTTATATGGTTCATATTATTACATGTATATACAAAATGACATAAAACATCAAATTAAACGAATGTATAATACTTATATAAGTCGTATTAACTTTTTGTTTTGTTAAAAAAAAACTTTGCTTAGATTTCGTGTCAATAATTTAAACACAGTCAAATACATTTTGTCAGAGAATTTTCAAACTTAAAGGGACCCCACTGAGGCTTTTGACATGACGGGACTTGGAAATATAGTTTTCGAGATTAATGTTCCATTTGATGTCACTCTAGACCAATAACTGCTATGCACAATTTCAGATAATTAACTCACTCTGTTTTACTTTGTCAGAATGATTATTCTAATTGTGAAAATGATCCCAAAATTGAAACTCTTTTCACTAAAATTGTGCTAAGAATAGCACAAAAATGTGATTTTCAGTTTATTTCTGAGTATATTTCATAATTATCTCTTGCATAATTATCTTTCTATGAAAAGTACCTCACCTTATCTTTGTAAGAACTTCAAATGCTAGTTTTTAGGCTTTTGCACTTCGGTGGAGTTCGTTTAAAAATCATTATAAGCATGACAGGTATATTGTTATGTTACTTGAGTTTATTGATGGTCATGCGTCTTGTTATAGGGTTGTTATGCTATAAACTACGAAACCACGTGTCCACCAATAGAGGCATTCGGGATATCTTGGCCACGTTCTGATCCTGGACAACAAGTGAAAGTTCCATGTGATAAAGGTGAGACTATGCATGTACAAACATATACTAGTAACACTTTAGGACGGTGTTCACCACCGTATTTAACCTTATACATACATTTTATGAAGGAAACATGTGAACTTTCTTTCAAGGCTATAATAAAATATAAAATTTACAAGACGTTTTATCATGTACAAAAGGACATCACATAATTAATAACCAAAGTTAACATGTTGATGTAAATACAAATAGACATCAAATAATTAAGAACTAAAGTTTACATGTTGATATATAAAAATAACAATTCTACATAGGTCATGCAAAGTGGAAATGTGACAAGAATCCAACATGTTGGAGGGATGAACCAGATGTTAAACAGTGTACCTCTGAGACCATACAAGTTCTGACAAGTCAGGTAAATTTAAGATACACGTTGTCTTGCTACATCAAGATTTGGCATAAAGCGGTGCTCTCCTACTCACCGATGCGTGAGAGTTAGGCTTGGTAAAAGTAAACTTCGTGCGAAATAGTATCTCATTAACAACTGAATGTATACACTTGAAACTACAGAATCGTGGGCCACATTCCAATACACACAACCGTAATATGTGTTTAGACCGAAATATAACCATTTTAAACTTTTGAAAATTCCAGGTTTTAGTTTTAGTAAAAAAAAGTGAAATTCATCGCTACCTTTATACTTGTCTAAGGAATCATAATTTTAGTCAGATTTCATAACACACAACTGTATCATGGATTTTGACTTTCATTATTTCACTTCGCGAACTTTTAAATGTGTCTTTCTACATCATATTATCCAAGGTCTTGTTCACGAGTGCACTGTCCAACTGGCATCTCTTGTTATATTTATCAGAATATGTTACATAAACTAAAGTAAAGCGTTACATAAATATACTCCTAGTTTATTATTATAATTCATTAATGTAGTTACATTCTTTTTTTTTCTGCCAGGTTTGACCCGTCAGTTGTCAGATATCTTAATGATTATATCTTCTTAAATATTTACATTTTTTCTGACGATAACCATCTAAAAAATTTCGTTTGTTTATGATATGGCCGTTATCTTCGTGTGCTAGCACCTTTTGTATTTTGTAAACTAAGTTTAACTTTTGAAAAGGTTCATCAAAGCAAAAGTATCTGTAAAAATAAAAAAGTAAAAAAACGACACTCTGCCGTTGTTAATGCGATTTAAGACATAAGTATCAAAAGTCATCATATTTTCTGCTATTTCGATCTTACATAGCGCATGTATAACCAGCAAATACCGGAAAATGTACGGAAAATAGCCGGTCAAGTTACCGGAAGTCAAGATAAAAACAAACAGCCTGTGGCCCAAAAATATGTAAACTAAAAACCTTGAAATCTTATAAGATAAAACATAAAGAGCTTCGCAATTTAACTACATTTGATAATAGTCTGGCTAATACGTTTACGTGAAATCAAAATAAATGTTCTTATTTTTTGTCGATTTTACAATATTCAAAACAAAAAAGATCGTGAGTATACTTTTCCAAAGTCAACATATACAATATTCAGTCAACCTAAATGATATGAACTAAAACAATGAAGTTAAGGAAGATTTCATTTCTCTGAAAGGTTAAAGAGTTCCTGTCAAACACAAATAACTCGGAGAAAGCTGTAGAATTTACGGAAAATTTGGCTGCATCAGTCCAGACGGAAGAGGTGTTGTCAGAACAAGATTTATTCCAGTCGACTAAACTAATGGAGGCTGCTTCAAATGCCAAACCAAAAAATTCTACAGACGCTAAAAACATCATCAAGGTTGGACATGTTATTAACTTAAATTTTGAAATAAACATATTCATGCATGTATAATTGTATTTGATACTATAAAGGTGGAAATGACTGCAGCTTCTCGAAAGGAGCATAGTATTGTAAATATTTCTAAACGAGGCTTTTTTATTTCTGAGATATTATTTCAGAATAAAAATTTTCTTGTACAATTGAATGTTTTGTTGACAAGATGTACATATTTTATATTAATGTCAATGTCATATATTATTATAAATATAATATTCATATTATATTATACAGAATATTGCCAAATGCGGAAGTCTCCTAGTCGGAAAGCATCAGACATGGACGTCTATGAATAAAGAAGGTCAACGGACCGTGGCGTCATCGCTGCTAACATCCATGGAGTTGGTTACAAATGTTATGCTCAAAAGTTTTGAAGAGCCTGTTGTAGAGAAAATCGTAGAGGAAAACATGGGTATTTATATAGATTATGTAAACTGTTAAAGTAGAGAAGAACATGGGTATATATGTTAATATGCAAATTCCTACGGTAGATTTTGTTGTTTATTTAGATTTTAAGTCACATCGACAAAGTTAAGGTCGTACGGCGACATTCCAGCATTAGGCCTACTGGTGCAGGAAGACCTCGGGTGCTCCTTCGTGCATTATTTGAGGCACGAGCGGCGGGCATCTGAGTAGACCCACCGTCCTTCCGTAAGATAGCTTCCTGACATGAAAGAATTCAAAGTCCCTAGGGATTCGAACTAATAGTGGTGAGGGCCAAGTGCTTTAAATCCGACGTCAAGTCGGCGACCATTACCGCTCATCCATGGGGGCAGTAGAACAACATGGTATCTATTTGCTGTTACAGGGGAAAATGTGCGTACAATGAATTTATGCGTATATCTACATGTATATATATAAATTTTGTAAAGATATGTTCCACTCTAGATATCTAATAATTTTATCTTTAAATTGATCATATTGTGATATTTGGCGACCGGAAATTGACACTCCTTTTTGTTATTTGTCATTCGAAATTTGTCTGATATCTGGTTGAAGTCTTGAATACATGAACTATTTAATGTAACATACCTTTTGTAGGAGTAATAAAACCAAAATTATAAAGTAAATTTCTTGTAGTTATGGTATAAATTATTATTTATTGATGTTTTGATTTTTCAGCAATCGAGTTACAAGTTATAGATATTAACAAAGACGGACCGGATGGTAAAGACGCTGTGTTCCAAGAACACACAAATAGTTTCTCGATACCTCAAGAAAATCTGAAACGCTTTAGTTCAGGTAGGGTAGAAATGTTGCAAAAATACAACTGAAAATATATAATTTATATACAGACTTGTCCATAATCTAGCAAAATTAAACTAAACTGGAGGCTTATTCGCAGAAGATGATTATTGTATAAATGAAAGATAAGGAATTTTAACCTCTAACTTCTGAAACTTGTGAAATAGATGTGCCCTGTTTTGAAATTTGAAATAAGCTACCAACCAACTGTTAAGAGCCTGGTCAGACTGCAGGGAATGTACAGGCAGCTGGGCTGGCCCTGTACTGGTGGCAATAAAAGGCTTGTCACTTCCGGTTAACAATCGCAATCAATTTGACTTGTTTATTGTAAGTTATTAGAAGAAAAATATATAAGAATACATTTATAATAAAGTGTTAATGGTTTCAAGGATATTGAACCTCAATGTATATAAATGTAATTAGCGAAACACTTGATAAGTTATTGTTTAATTCCGATAACACTTATACAATAAAACATAGTACTATTGAAACACTTCATGACAAGCACGCGCCGGTCATGACACTCCAGTTAACATAATTGTTTACTTTCGTTTACATTTTTTATGTTATATTATATATGTTTATATGTGTCACGTCGTATGGGAGTGTTTTCAGGGCATGTTGATAAGAGTTATGCCCCTTTAAAGCTATTTACTTAAAGTAAAATTGTTGGTTTCAGCAGAATAACTTTTTGAAGGATTTCAGAAACCATGTTTGTATTTGGCATGTAAAAATAATATTTAAAAACACAGGACTAGTTCGATTTTCACTGCAATCAGCTATCATTAGCGTTGCTCTCCTTTTTAAGCTTTTTTCCAACCTTTTGCTTGGCTAGCGCAAAAAAAAATTAAAAAAAAAAAAAACACGACAGATTTGTGGTGAAAAAAAAACCCCGACACATTGTATGTGTTGTGTGTTTGCCTTCAATTGACGACTTTTGTTGTGATTTCAACTATTGCTGGTTTCGATTTTGTGAGACGGTGAAAATGCAAAAGGTTGAAGGATGAAAAACCTTTGAACTGCCAGTCGTATTTTCGTCCTTTCGCATTTACGTCTCAAAAATCCGACAAAGGTGTCATTGCACGCACGACACAACACTTTGAAGGCAAAAACACGACGGAATGAATATGTTTGGTGTTTGCAAAAGATATTTTTGTATTCGCGTTTCCTAGCTAACAGGGCGGAATGGCGAATTATGACAAAATCACCATGGCACGCCCGACTCGACACTAACAGGGCGGAAACACGACACATTAAATATGTTGTTTGTTTGTGAAAAATATTTTATAATTACTTTACAGAATTATTTTTTCCTCAAAGTTAACAACTCACAATACAGTTTACTTTGCTTGAGTAACACCTCTTAACAACAACCTTTGTCTCACTAAGGTTGTTGTTTAGCAAAGGCTATACTGTATATTATTTTCCCCTTAGGTGGATTAGCAAGACTTGTTTTTATTAACTACAATACTGTGGGATCAATGATGGTACCGGATGATGACGTCATTGGTGACGACATTGAACGTAAGCTGGTCAGTGAGGTTGTGAGTGCGTCTCTGGATGAGAAAGCCCCGGATGAGCCGTTGATAAAACCTGTCGTTTTCACAATGAAAACACATGAGGTGAGTACAGTATAAGGTTCACAATGAAAAATTATGAAGTAAGTATAGTATAAGGTTCACAATAAAAACACATGGAGTACCGTAGTTTTTCACAATGAAAACACAAGAAATGAGAAGTGTGAAATTGAAAGCGTCAATTCGTGAAGTTGAAATGTGACTTCTTGAGTTTGAATCGTGAATTTGTGACATTAGAATCGTGAATTCGTGAAGTTGAAAATTAAATATTAAGTTGAAATCGTGAACTTCTAAAGTCGGAATCATATTAGTAACTTTGAAATTATGAAGTAGAAAAAGTTAGAAAAAAGTGAAATCGTGAATTCATGAAGATGAAATCGTGAATTGTGTGAAATGAAAAATTGCCCACTTATCTTTCATAAAGTGCAGCAGTCATTTCATTCATAACATATTAAAAGAAATTGTTTTGATCATATAAAACATACAGTGAGTAAAAATCAAAGCAGCTGAATGGGCAAAATATGAGCAACCTTTTCTTTCTGTTTCTTGCAAACTGACATGTTTAAATTAATTTTTTTCACAAATTCATCTCCATAATAGAGTTTCAAGTATTTGTTTGAGTTTCAAATAAACATATTACTTTTTACTTGGTGTGTATGGAGGGCGTTCGTTGCCAAAATTCCAGACATGTAAAGTGTTCCTTTTTAAAATGACTTTGGAAAATGCGAACTTGTATGCCTACCATTTTTATTGTATGCCTCTTAATTCAATCTTTTAATTGAAGGTTACCGCCTTTATATAACAAGTTTACATATATATCGTAACAACTGACCTAACATCTAAAACGACAGCAAATTTACAAGTTCGTATCTTCCATGCATGCAATACATACGCATGTTTGCACACTTATAGATCTGTAATATACAAATGAAATGTAAAACTCGAATACGGAAAATAGAGTTTAAGAAAACGTGTTACCAATTGTAGAACTACAAGAGTACGTTAACACAGTAACATGTTTAAAATGACAAAAGTAGATTCACAAAGTTAAACGATTTTAAGTCAAGCATAACGCCCGCCCCTCTCGGAGTATTTACGACCTTCTATTGCGGACAGGTATAAAACGGCGCCTCTCCCATTTTTAAATATAAACTGAAGGACAACATACGGCATTTTTCATAACATATATATGTTGCATTTGTTATAAAAGTTTTGTCACTAGCAACATCACTTGAAAATTGCTGATTTTACCATTTATGATGAAGATAACTTGTGCATTACCTTATTATTTAACATCGTGTTCTTATCAGTTACAAATTATTTATCATTTTAGTGATTAGCCTGTCCGTGCTATGCCTAGTGCCCTGGCCATGTGTTTTGTTTGGGGACCGCCTGGGCTTCTTGCCACTTGTTCTTGTTGCTGGGTCATGTAGGGTTGCGTTCATTGAGCGTCGCCTTTCCTTGTTGATCTTGTTTATCATATATTCCTGAGAAACATCGGCGATTTGGAAATTTTTAGGGGAAACAATGACCAACTTCAAGGGAGTAATTTTATTGATAATGTAAAAACATCCAATACTCTTATTGGTATCATTGAAAAATGTATTGGCACAAATTTCACTTTCAACAAAAACTATGCAAGTATTTGCAAAAATAGGATTTTAAAGCGGCCACCGAGATTTCCTTTCCGAAATCAAGAAAATACTTATCCATAGCACATATGTACAATCTTTAATACGGTATTTTCAGTATGAATAAAATCTTTTTGCACTTGTTCATTATCCCTCATGTACAGACTCAATCAAACAGAGTCTGCAAATCTTATGTAATTTTGTAGTGATTAATGCTTCCGAGGGATCATTTTGTTTCCAGATTTTAATACTTCACAACAGCAGGTGCCAAGTGCCGTGTGGCAGTTGTAAATAGTTGCCCCGTACTTCACTTCATTGTTTTTCTGGTCATTCGGGATCATTGATGCCAGCGCTATTAAGTGTTTAGAATTGAGTACCGTTCAAGCCAGTGCTAGGGGGCTTGTCACTTACGTGTCACATTGAAGGTTCCATGATAATCGTCACCTGTTTCATTATCCCTCATGTGCAGACTCAATCAAACCGAATCTGCAATTCTTATGTAATTTTCCGCCGCCTTTCCTTGATGATATTGTTTATTATCGAAAAATTGACCAAGAAATAAAAAAAGTAAGTAAGGGGCGCCATGTTTTTTTTCTTACTGAATTTCAGAGTGTGTGTGTTTTTTTATTTACTTGGGGATCATATGCCGTTTTTCATGGTATGGCACTTACGTGTCACATTGAAGGTTCCATGAATAATCGCCATATTAACACATCTGCGGATGTTTCAAAATTGTACTCAGTTCAAGTTGAATTTTGCTTAAGCCGGTGGCTAAGAGGGCGTGGACGATAACTTGCTCTTTCCATTACCGTCCATGAGCAGGCTCAAGTCAAACCGGGCCTGCAACATTCTTCAATTTTGTCGTTTTGAGCGTTTTTAAGGGATTCTTATTTTCTCTATTTGTCACAAAAGTAACATGATAAAACTTTTTAACGAAAGTTAATTCAGTTTGATTTATTCATTTTATTATTTAGGCATTATATAATTATATATCATAAATCGTATGAAGCACACTTTTATTTCGATCTAAAAATTATCAAAATATATTACGAACTTTAAAAAAAGTTTGGAGGAACGCCGTGTTTTTCTTACCGAAATTCGAGAGTGTTATTTTCAGAGTAAAAAACCTAAAAATTCCATACATCTATTTAATTCATTTTTATTTCCGAGGCACTCATAGAAAGCTTATGGAGTAATCTTTCATTTGATATCCCAATATTATTGGACTTTTTATAGAATAAAAAAGTTAGAATGGACGCCCGTGTTTTCCTTCATAGGAGTGAGGCGACGGGTATTATACCTGTCCGTACATTTCCGTGATAGAAGATCGCAAAATACTCAGAGAGAGGCGGGGCGTCATGCATGACTTAGAATCGTCTAACTTTGTGAATCTACTTTTGTCATTTTAAACATGTAACTGTGTAAAACGTACTGTTGTAGTTCTACGACTGGAACACGTTTTATTAAATTATATATTTTCTGCATTTGAGTTTTACATTTCATTTGTGTTTTACAGGTACATATATATATCTACAAGTGTGTAAACATTCTTATGTATTATATGCAATGGTAGATACGAACTTGTAAATGTGTTTTGTTGTTCTCCATGTTAGGTCAGATGTTAAGATTTACATGTAAACGTGTTATTTAAAAAAGCGGGTGCCTTCAATTAAAAAGATTGGATTAAGAGGCATATCATTTGCTGTGCACGAATGCAATAAAAAAAATGCTAGACATACATGTTCGCATTTTCAAAAGTAGTTTTCAAAAAGGAACACATTACATGTCTGGAATTTTGGCAACGATCGCCCTCCATAGGTGTGTTTTTATTGTTACAAGGTGGTACATATATAAAGGGTTGGTGTTAAAATAAGACAACATGTATGATTCATACGTTATATAAATTATAAAGAATTTATTACCATTTGATACATATTAAAAAGATTCTAGCAAATTTTATGTTTCCTGACATAAGTAGTGCGAGTTTTTGAATCAGTCAGTCAACGATATGTGAAATTATTGTCTATTTCGAATGATCAGTGAAAATAAAGGGAATTTTGCATTAAACTGAGATGTCTGACTTTTTTGTTTCAGAGTGCTAAAAATAAAGAATGGAAACAATTATGTTCATTTTGGAACTTTAGTCTCGGGTATGTAAACTAGAAATTTTGATATGCATTTTTCTTGTAATTTACTTTCGGAACGATTACATCACAGTATTTTTTAGGCTTTGAGCTTCCTTCTCTAATTTGAACCTTTGAACCGGTTTGGGCTAAATATTCAGTTTACAGCAGCAAGCACTATTTTTGATATGCAAAACGTTATTAACAATGACTGTAGTTTAAAAGTAATATCCTTAAAATGGGACCGCTGGATTTGTCATCATCCCGCCTTGGTGTAATTACCGAATTCTATTGCCCAACTGTGGTTCAAAGCTTTAAACATTAAAATAAATTATTTTGTACTATTATTTGTCCGGGTTGAGTTAAAAGCGTTAAATGTGTTTCATATTTGGGTCATTTTGCACATTAAAAATGATTATTCTGTAAAATCGGAGTGGCCGAATGACCTGAAATTTTACGCAAGTCATTGTTCCAGACTACATATTAATGTAATGGAACTCTCGAACAATTATTTCTTCGTTCGTTTAATGTACATAATGAAACTTTCTGTATTGTTGAAGGTATACTGGGGCGTGGTCACAGAAAGGTTGTTCTTTAAAGAAACACAATACAACACACACGACCTGTCAATGTAATCATCTAACAAATTTTGCTATACTCATGGACATACATAGTACCAAGGTAAGTAAATATTTTCACACTCTGTTGCATACTTTGATAGAAATTAACTTGACAGTATTATGACTCATATGATGGCACTACTTCCGGTTATTGCAAGAAAGATACCGGAAGTGACAGGTGCTTGTAATGGCAAGAAACGATACACACTAAATTGTAAAAGGCTTTCAAGACATTGGGTTTCGTTTCGTTTATCCACTTTGAATACGATTCGTAATATTTATGTTACCAAAAGATTATGCTACTCTTCATTTTTGCCTTCTTCAAGAAAAATTGAAGAACATTCAATAAACTTTATGTTCACTTTTTGACAGTTGGCGCCAATCCATGCAACGGCATTGTCTTTCATCACTTATATTGGTATCATCATCTCCATCATCTGTCTGTTTCTGTCGTGGATAACATTCATTTGTATAAGGTATGTATTCAAATTTCATACTTATAGATCTTTATTAAAATCTTTGTTTGGATCATTTCGCGTAAAACGAATTATTTTAATTCGTTATTAGAACAGCCTCAGGCTGTTCTGATTTTCCATGAGTGCATGGTAAACCCCTCGATGCCCCATTTTCCTGCTATTAACAGTCGAACCCGTTGTCTACCTTGTACATGATCGTACCTTAGATGGTTTATACCAATAATTGTAACAGTTACACATATTCCAGTAGATCTAATAATAGTGACTAGCTCCTGAAGGAATACATATAGTGGGAAATCTTTTTGGATGGAAATATGATGATTCATATAATATAGAATTAACATCTGGATGTAATTGTTATGTGTTGCTATAAAAATTGTACATTTTTTAGTTTTTCGGTTATTGCTGATATACATTTATACCCTTTATTCTTTTAACATGCAGTTTTTGTAAAATATTTCAACCAAATCGCTATGGATGGTCACATTATATAAACAATTTATATGTCGGATTATCTTTTATGACATCGCATAATGCTCCAATCGTTGACAAAGTAAAACAACTTAAAATTATTGGCATTTCTTTGAACAAACATGTTTTACATCAAAAGCATACATCATGTTTATGACAGGAAAAGCGAAAAGTAAGACGTGTTGTATACATTTGTATTGTCTTTATTCTGTGGTAAAATTTGTTATCTTTTTGGTTGACTATGAACTGATCTTATTTATTAATGAACCTGTCTTATAACTATAGATAGTACATGTTTCCTTCTTTAGAACCATGAAACTGTTGTTGCATGTTTAGACAAATATTTTAAGAATGCGATTCATGTTAACCTCATACACTGTTATATATTATATTTGTGTTGTTTAACAATATTACTTTTGTTGTTACATGTTTTACACGAGTTTGTTCTGTCTTAGCCTATTTAAACATTGTGTTATTTTGAGGAAGTAACAATGTCAATATAAACCCTACATTTCCAGTGCTAGATGTTTACGTGGCTCACGAGGGAGCCATGGCAACGAGGCAAATGAGTATTATGGGAATAGCGGAAGTTCCAGTGAGTCCGCGACTGGCTCACGGTATATAAATATTTAGGTGTCGGGTTTTGAATAAATTGATAACATTGTAAATAGTTATATATATATATATATATATATATATATATATATATATATATATATATATATATATATATATATATATATATATATATATATATATATATATATATATATATATATATATATATATATATTCAAACATGACAGCAGTATATAAATATGTAAGTATTTGATTCAATCGGTAAAACAAGAATATTTAGGGCTATTTCTCCAAAATGACGAATGCGTTGCGAATCAATGTAAACGTGGCGGTTAAAAATTAAATTAATTCAATATTGATATATAAGTATTAGCATTTCCAAAAATGCTAGGTATCGCCGTTAAGTCGGATATTCAGAATTTGTTCGTGAAAAAGTCTCGTTTCCAAACAAAAGAGCTAATGTTACTTCTTTTAAGAGAAATATTCCATATCTTAATTTCACACGTAGAACCTACACACTGGTTTTGAGCTTTTTACATGAAGATAGTATTTCAATTCGATATAGGCAACCCGACATAAACAGGGCGGATAGAATGTCCTGCAGGTGACCCGTGTCGTCCATTTTGTTATCATGTGGTATTAAATTCTCCGTTTTGATTGGCTAAGGACTGGCGATGCACATGTAGAAATCTTGTTTATTGTACATGCCGCCGTCGATGAACGCGACAATAATTTCAAAAGACTGCCATTTGTTGCAGTGCAATGACAAACTTCACAAATGCTTACTTTACTTTAACGAAATGTTCTTTTCCATTTTTTTTTGTACACAAAGCATTTTAATTTAAATGAAAATGAACGCGACAGAATCTATTTTACGGTGGCTCCATAACGCGGTGACCTAAATTACTCTGTAATTATCAGGGGAAGTAACCGCTGTTGGTATTTGAATCTTAATTAATCAAAGAAACCATGTTTTTGCACTTGACCACTTCATAAAATTCATGACTTTTGTTTGAATAATTAAATGGCGATCCATCCCTGAATAATTCTACAAAATTGTCATACGTATTCCTAATAGTATATCTGTAAATAAGAAAGCCGACTTCAACTGTTAGGGACCTAAATTCATGAATAGAAGTTCATTTTAAATGTTGTCAGTTTGTGTTTGCGTACTAACATTTAAAACTATTCTATAGTGTTATTAATTTATATAAATATACAATATACAATGATTGCAAGCTAAGCTTACCATATCTCACGGAAGGTGAAAAGCTAACTTGTATTCGGTGCTTATATTTCTAAGGCTACACACTTAATGTCATACTTGGGCTCTGCATGTGTTACTAGTATACATACAGGTTTATTGACTCGTAATACATGCCCGGATTTAATTTTTTCTTCAGTTGGTCTGACAAAATAATCATAATGAATACAAGATAGAGAAAATATTGTTTTTATTTACAATTCTCGAGTAATGGACATTAGATTAGATTTTTTTTCTATGTAAATTCTGTGTTTTGTCCTACCCTCACATCTAGCACCTGCCTTACTCTTATTGCTTTCTTTAGCTCACAAGAGCGTACAACGCTGTGAGGTGAGCTTTAGTAAGAGCATTATGTCCGTCCCTAGTTATATGCTTTGGTGGTCCCCTACGAAAGTTATATTAATACCTATGTTACTATATATAGTAACAAAATCTAGGGTATTTCAGGGCCATTATGGCAAGATCTAGGTCATTATCTTGCTACTCGGCATTATTTTTCCATAATGGGCGAGTGAATGAGCGCACGTACAGAATGACGTCATCAACTCTCAGTGACTTTCAAGATGGCTGCTGACGTTGAATGAACTAAAGTCACTTGCAGTTTAAATGACGTACATTTGTAATCAATCGCAATCAACAAAGCTTAACATCGAATATTTATAAACTCAAGAAAAGAATACAATAACTCATTCCAAGACAAAACATGACCCTCAGAACTTCCAAAAATGATTTCAGTTTGACGGTATATACCGTACTATATATCCTGTTTTCTCGTATTTTCGGGGGGTTAAGGACTAAACTTGGTTGCATAATATTTATTAAACATTCTGTTACAGTATTTTTAGCCTGATACACAGAGAAATACCTTATTAACAAAATACAAAGAAAGAAAGATCGTAACTGTCAGCAAAACTAAAGATATTTCTGCTTGTATATACTGACCTTCACCCTCTATGTGAAGCAGGTGCTTTCTCGTATTCTCGTGGAATTTGATTGGTTGTTAAGGCTGGTCGCTATGTGATGATTTTATTCTACATACCAGTTCAAATCATTAGTGCCACACCTAATTAAGTGTTAAATGGCCTAAATCTGTAATCTTAGTGTGTTTTAATAACAGCTTGGCAGGCCATATCAAACTTTAAGGATCATATTGACGCCTCATTGGTACCAAATGATTTCGATTGTTCCAAAAATAGTTTGAACTCCATTTAGTGTTGTTATTTACATAATGTCTCTAATATATATTCAGTTTACGTTTATTTATTAGTTATTTATTAGTTATATGAGCATTTAACAATGAATACTACTGTTTTCCGTTGCAGTTGTCAAAAATGAAATGTGTTTAGGACAAACAATGTTTCATTATTGGTTTTTAATTGGAGGTCATATCTTTTTTATATTATCTATTCGTGGAACAAATATTTTGAGCTGTATTGTATAAATAGTAGTGTGAGACCGTCATTTGAAGCGTCTTGCGTCAGAGACCCGCTACAGGTTTCTGCAACATGGAAAAAACTAGAAAACTGATGATTTTTGGGGGGAAATTGATAAATTTAATTGAATTTTCTGGATTTACGATTATTTCCACAGTTTTTTTTTGTTTTTTTTTTATCTGTTGTTGCCGCATTTCTTTTATTTTTTTAATGGAGATGAAATGCTCTGCTAAATAGACATGTTTTCGGATATCGACAGAAGTCGCGAGCGTCGCTTCCATCCGTTTTAATGATTCCACGAGAATACGAGAAACCCCGAGAATACGAGAAACAGGGATAGTTTTTATTTGTTTGGGTCGTCAGACCAAACAAATAATGGTAGCGAAATTTCAGAGTCTAATGTTGTTAATTGCAAACGCCGAAAGTAGTCCACTTTTTTTGAAGCGGTTACTTCCCTTTATATGTACACTAACACCGAAAAATTCAGGGGAGATCACTGCGTAAAGATGGTCAATGACAGGCGAATTAATTTTCAAGCAAAATAATTCCCGAATGGTCGAAGATTTCTAATATTGTTTTATTGTATTTTCTGATCGAAATTAAGTAAATACAAAGCGGACATTCAACCTCTGACACAGATGTTCACAACAAACCTAACAACAAGTAGTTCTCAAAACAGCTTAAAACTAGCGATTTAAAAGAAAGAAATATTTTTATTTTGTTACAAGTATCCAACAAATAACAACGCATTCAAAGTTTAAAAATAGTGTTGGCTAATAGAATTGTCAATAAATGTACAATCACAAATTACGCGGATGAATATGATTTTATCAATGAAAATACTATTTTTAGCGCTGTCGATTACCGAATACTACACAAACCGAGTAGTGGAATATATAGATTCTACATGTCGGACTGTTTGGGCGAGAAGATTTTCGCTAAATTATTTACTTCAATTTTAAACAACAGGTTTATCCTGAACAAAATACCTCGAAATTAATAAGGATAACAAACCCGAAATGCAATGGAAGTTCTAAATCTAGAATGACCTGATTTCATTCCAATCTTATTTGTATAACTTCTCCGTGGTGCAGGGGTAACGCGCTCGCTTCAGGAGTGAGAGGTCTGGAGTTCAAATCCAAGTCAAGGAAACTTTTTTTTAAATTCTTTTTTAAGTGTCTTTGTTAAGGAAGTACTGTGCGTTTAGGATAATTATTTAGTGACGCGGTGGTCAAGTCCACTTTAACGGTGTAAAACAGTTATCATATTGTGTTTAATATCTTAAAGTCAAGCAGGCTTGCCATATAAATTAAAATATCGACAAATTTACCAACTGGCGGCGTAACACAGTAGGTAAAGTTGTGTGGTAAATTTTTAGTTACATGTCAATGCAAGACAGCCAGGTTCGGTCCCAATTTTTTTGTATAATTATCAATCGATTAAGAATTTCTTTTTTTTCTTATAAAGATTATTAGCGCTGTGTTATTTTCTATTATTTTCTCATTTCACTTTTCTTTTTAAATGTTGCTATATCTAGCAAGTTGGTGCAACCTGATACGGAAAGCATACATGTACATAAATTGTTTCAACTATAGTTAAGTTGGCACGAAAAACTTATGCACTGCAAAAGTACTACTACACAGAATAAAAATTATTATTTCCGGAATATATAAATTATTCGAAATTATAACAAAACTGCCTTTATATTCCAATTAATTTGCATCTCATGTAAAAATAAAAATAGGGAAAGAAAAAGGAAAAAAAGGTTTGACAACTGGTGTGGCTCGAACTCATGATACAATTTAATTTGTATGGCATCCTAGTTACTTAACCAACTTTGCATTGAGACTTTTCAAATTCTATTTCTGATTTTGAATCATATTCACTTCTAAATACCCTGTTTTACCTATTCAGACAAAGATTGTAAACTTTTGTGTACACAAAAATTGCAACGTCACTCTCACATTATCATAGCGGCACAGTAGCCATGATATGCAAGGATAAAGTGTGACTGTCGTAAAAAAATGAACATAAATGATTTTTTTTTGATGCATCTCTAGTTGTGCAGAATTCCGTATGTATCAAACTCTGGTGCCTTGCAAAATGAATTATAATACATAAAAATAAACTTATACAGGAAAATGCATACAGATATACAGTACAATTAAGATTGCAAAGATCAGAAAATACCACAGAACTTGCATCCCTTTGATTCTTTATAAATATACATGCTTATAGTAAGCTCCAGGATTATTTACATCTGTATTAAACAACAGTTAAAGTCGTTACAAGCCCTAATTTAGAATAATATGGTTTTCTTCAGGCCGTTCACATATAAATTCACCGTGGCTGAAGGGTTTTCGCGCTCGCCTATGAAGCGAGAGGTCTGGAGTTCAAATCCCAGTAAAGGCAAACCATTTTTTTTCAATTTGTTTAAGTCAAATAAACATTGGATTGCATATCAGTGTTGCAATAAGTCTTATAGCCAATTTACTACAATTAAAACGCTGGAAAGCATTGGTGGCACTGTACATATAATCTCACAACCTGCACCTTTCGTACATTCTGAGACCCAAACAAATTCAGCGCCTTCTGTGCTTTGATTTTTAAAGAGACCGATCGGATCGATGGCATTTAGCATGTTTAGAGGTTGACATTGATCGTCTCAGAAACCGTTCTTGAAGGCACAAAAGTTCATAAAAAACTGGCACTAAATGTTATTCTCACAAAAAAATATAAAGAGTATTTATCGATATAAACAACAATAAAACAACATTGTCTCATATTTATTTTGTTTTGTCATGTTTTTAAAGTAAATCGAAGTGACAGATATTTGTTTACATCGACAACTATCCGTTTCTTAGAAAGGGCGACAACCAAGATTAGCGGCGATGTCTAAATGCCGTCTTTCGGACATAGGTATTAAAGACGTTAATACTTGGTTGCTGCTCGCCATTATGCGATAATGGCCCTTGAGTCCATAATGTCCTTCGGGCCTGCGGCCCTCAGGCCATTATGCACATCTTCGGGCCATTATCGCATAATGGCGAGCAGCAAGCAAGTATTAACCTCTAAATAATCATGCACCCAGGGTCAACATTAGTCCCTTGTTTTATATGCATGAAACACAGCCAGCTTGACCCTAGAAATAAATATATTAGAATCATGCCCCTGGTGTCAAAAATGACACCGGTCGGGGTCTCATTTGTAACATTGACTCGGATAGGAAACATACCCCAAAAGCTACGATACTTGGATCCTAATTAATTTGCATGTCGTCCTCGAAAACATACCCTGGGGGTTATTTTTGGCCCCGCCTTTAGGCTCAATAAATTAAATTAGATACGTTTAAATCTTCTTGTGTCAAAGTACATGGCCAATAGCTTATATTTTGAAAGTTGCATTGCCAATAGGACATCTAATTAAGTCATTGTCCTTGGGTCAAAATGGCATGGCTTTGATTTGACTCGATGACTTACTTTTGCATCGAAGAATTGTGGCATTTCCTGGCAATGGATCTCAGATGAGCTATAAAGGGGCACTATAGCCCTCTTATTAAAGTTTATCTATGGCAGTCTGCCTAACGCTTCATGTTCATATGTATATGTCGATTCCACTTTTCCTATAGAATAGCATGCCTTCCGTTACTGCCTAGAATTAGTTGTCTTGTTTGAATGATTCTATTTAATAAAAACTGCAGCTTAGAAAAGTAAAATTTCATATGATTCTGTTGCTGATTGCATGTTATTATGACATTAAATCAAAGTAACAAGTTATTACATGTGTCATATTTTTAAGTACATATAACAATCTTCATTTAATTTTTGTTGTTTTTTCTTTCTAAATATGATACTTGTACATATTTATCCAGTTTGTATATGATACTAACATATGCAGTATGAAAGTAGATAAAGTATATGGTACTATTATATTCAGTATGAAAGTGGTTATGGTATATAATACTAGTATAGTCCGTATGAAATTGGATATAGTATATGGAACTTGTATATTCAGTATAAAAGTGGTATGTAGATTATGATACGTGTATATTCAGTATGAAAGTGGATATAGACTATGATACTAGTATATTCAGTATGAAAGAGGATATAGAATATGATACTAGTATATTCAGTATGAAAGAGGTATATAGATTATAATATATGTATATTCAGTATGAAAGTGGATATATAATATGGTACTGGTATATTCAGTATAAAAGTGGTATGTAGATTATGATATGTGTATAGTCAGTATGAAAGTGGATATAGTATATAATACTAATATATTCAGTATGAAAGTGGATATAGTATATGGTACTAGTATATTCAGTATAAAAGTGGTATGTAGATTATGATATGTGTATAGTCAGTATGAAAGTGGATATAGTATATAATACTAATATAGTCGGTATGAAAGTGGACATAGTATATGGTACTAATATATTCAGTATGAAAGTGGTATGTAGATTATGATATGTGTATAGTCAGTATGAAAGTGGATATAGTATATATTACTAATATAGTCGGTATGAAAGTGGACATAGTATATGGTACTAGTATATTCAGTATGAAAGTGGTATGTAGATTTTGATATGTGTATATTCAGTATGAAAGTGGATATATAATATGGTACTAGTATATTCAGTATGAATGAATATAGAATATGGTACTTTAGTATATTTAGTATGAAAGTTGATATTGAATATGATATTTGCCTATTTAGAACAAAAAATATATACATGTTTATTTCATGCTTTCCAGTGTTTTATTGTAATATATCAGATGATTATATTCTGATAAACCACTAGTGAAATTTATAAAATATAATTTTCACTGTAGCCGGACTATATCTGAATGCGGATGAAAAGATAATCATAACTAAATGGAATAACAGGCAGAAATAAATGCTGTCATGCGTAAATTTTGCTTCTTTAGGAAAAGAAAGGCGATGTCACCATACATCATCTTAAAAATGTATCAAAATTAGAGAAATTTAACAGAACTATATTTCAAAATTGATGAGATGACGTCATGATGTGATGACGTCACAAAGGAGAATGCGCGACGTTACGCGGCAAAATCAGTAAAAAATACTTAAAATCACTTAAAAAGCATGAAATAAAAAGAATATTTATTTGTTTTACATGTAAGATTGAAATATATTTCATTCGTGAACACCAGCTATTATATTTTCACTCGTGGCTACGCCACTCGTGAAAATATTGCATCTGGTGTTCACTCAGTGAAATTATATTTCAATCTTACATGCAAAACAAACAAATATCCTCTATATATTCAGTAAAAATGGATATAGTATATGATACAAGTATATATAAGAAAGTGGATATTAAATATGTAACGTGTATATTCAGTATGAAAATATATGATTATATCATTTACATTTTATCTTATTTTAGTTCTGCTCAAGGAGAACGAAATTCTATACACAAGAACCTGGTGTTTTGTTTGTTTATTGCCGAGGTTCTATTCCTTGCAGGGATAGAAAGGACAGATAATACGGTAAGAAATATATAATAACAAGTTTATTCCATTATATAATTGTTATACCAAGGAATAAGTAAGCAATAAAACATAATGAAAATTTTGATATAATTATGTGATCAAGGTTTTGTCTCTGAATGACATTTGCTTGAGTGTTTAGAAGAGTTAAAGGAAATCCACTCTGGCCCTTAGAACATGAGCGGAGTTCCTTGACGTTAAGATGTGAATATTTTTATTCTTGTAGATTGCGTGCGCAATCATCGCAGGGTGTTTGCACTATTTCTTCCTGTCAAGTTTCACATGGATGTTTGTGGAAGGCATCCACATATTGTTTATGTTGGTACAAGTCTTCGATGGTGCCAAATCGAGGCTCAGATATTATTATGCCATTGGATACGGTACGTGACTGCTTTCTTCTTTTTCTTCTTCCGTGCATGTGTACTTTTTAATTCTCGTTATGTTACTTGTAAGATAAAATAATAGATTTCATTATCTGCAATGATAGAACACCGCTAAATTAGGATGCCAGTTTTGTCATTTGTTATCAACACATAAGATTATTTTCAAATGCTAATTGAAGGTCCACAACTTTTTTATGGATAATATTATAACAGAGAAATTGATCTGAAGGAGTTAAAGAGGGATAAGTCTCTTTGGTTGTAAAGTAAGATCACGATGAAAAAACCCGCACACACATTTAAGGTATTTTGCGCCATTTAATTACATGTATTTAGAATAAACCAATGCTTTCGTTAAAGCTGTCATCAGATTTAGAAATTCCGTTTTGTGTTGACTTTTAACTTACGGGCTTTAATCTTTTATTCATGTTTTAGGTGTTCCTTTGATAACAGTTGCGGTTTCAGCTTTGGTTTACTACCAGGGTTATGGGACTGAGAAATAGTAAGTTTTATTTTATATTCTGCGCATTAATGTCCACCAGCTTAGCTCAATAGGGAGACATTCGATTTTGCAATCCAGGGATCGATGGGTTGTAGCAGTTGATTTTGCAATTTATACTTTGGGCGAGCAATATGTACACGCTAACTGAGGGTAAAAATTGATTTTACTACTTTTCTCCGAAGTTTTGCCATGATTTAGCTTTTTCAAAACGGTTACGGGGAGCATTCATTTGAGGTACTGATATCCTTGTTTTGTCCCTATTCCTTGGACGATATAGTTTTATTAAAATTGTTTCTGGGAATATTTTTGCAATTCATTAATACTTTCCGTTTAGCTTATACAGACATGCTAAGTATTTTTGGTCTTGTCATATTCAGGAAAGTTTTCTTCATTAATTATTTTACAACTGGCCTAATATTCATGCTGTAAAAATTATTTTACAGTTGTTGGTTGACTACAGACAGAATGTTTATTTGGAGCTTTGCCGGTCCTGTTGCATTTATTTTGTTGGTAAGAAAAGTAACGAATATTTTGCTGCCATTTTTGTGTATATGTTAAATATGTTCCCAATAAAATATTTTCTTCAGATGATTAACTTTGCATTTACATGTACATCATGTAAGGCAATTTTACAGAATTTAAAGTCAAACTTAGTTGGGATATTGTATAACTTTCTCTATCAATAGTTATGCGTTGCCTTTTTAAATTAATTTTTTATAAAAGTACAAGATGATATTTTTATGTAACCTAGTTTTACATTAGACTTGTTCCCTACATTTTCAGGTCAATTTGATTGTTCTAATGTACGCGATGTCAGCTGTATGTAAACATTCAGAATATGTGTTCACAAAAGAGAAATCGTCCGTCGGTAACGTCAAGTAAGTAAATGTATTGTATTTGATCTCATAACATACAATATGTGAAACGATCATCGAATTAACTATAAACAATCACTGAAATATAGGTAAACAATCATCGAATTATAGATATAATCATCGAAATATAGATACAATCATCGAAATATAGATAAACAATTACTGAATTATAGATACACAATTATTGAAATATAGATTAACAATCATCGAATTATAGATAAATATTCACCGAATTATAGATACAATCATCGAATAATAGATACAATCATCGAATCATAGATACCATCATCGAAATATGAATAAATAATCATCGAATTATGGATAAATTACCATCGAATTATAGATACAATCATTGAATCATAGATACAATCATCGAATTGTAGATTCAATCATCGAATCATAAATACAATAATCGAATCATAGATACTATCATCGAATCATAGATACAATAATCGAATTGTAGATACAATCATAGAATTGTAGATATAATCATCGAATCATAGATACAATAATCGAATTATAGATACAATCATCGAACCATACATACAATCATCGAATCATACATACAATCATCGAATTGTAGATACGAGCATGGAATTATAGATACGATCATCGAATATAGTTAAACAGTAATTGAATTATTGAATAACAGTCATCGAATTATAGATAAACGGTTATTGAATTAAAGATAAACAGTTATCAAGGTTTAGCTTATAATTATCGAATTTTAGATCAACAATAATTGAAATTATCGAATTATAGATACAATGTATTAAAAATAAACAATTAATGAGTTAAAGGGAGACAATTGCCGAATTAAAAATAAAAAAAATGTCATCGACTTATCGATAAAATATATTAGCAAAGGAACTATATGTATATAAAAGTCAGACCATTTTTTCTTTACTTCACTAGTTAACCATTAAAGAAAATATCTGAAGTGCATGACAATTATAAATTGAAAATTCTGACAAACACCGTATTTATAATTTTTTATCTAAATTTTGCTATAAACAACCGTGATTAAAATATTTGCTAGACTTACTAACCTACTTGTGTTTGTGTTTTTCAATATTACTTTATACAGCAGCATTTATCAGTATCAGATGAACTCAACATACTATGGAATTCTAACATGTTACTTATTAGTATTTAAAAATACACCATTCTCTTTGTGCCTTTTAAGTTTATTGTCATAACAGATTTAGGCGTCCGTCAGCACAATTTTATGTAGACCCCACGACTGATCTGTATGTCACTTGAGGAAACTGTTCGTTTGCCTTACGTTTTGTATGTCTGTTTGTTTGTCCGTCTGTCCCGGATGCTGCATTCCGCGGGGTCGGAATAACGCGTTAAGTAATCAAAATAGGTTATTGAAACTAGACAAAAACATTATTTATGACTATATTTCGAATATATAGAGGATATTGAATGAGTGTAAGTTCAATACTGAATTTATTGCACGAGTTGAATAAAATTACATTATGCGAGCCTCTGGCGAGCATAATATTATTTTATTCAACGAGTGCAATAAATTCAGTAATGAACTTACACGAATTTAATATTCTATTTATCACATACCCAAAATAAAGACCGTTTAAAGTGAAATAAGAATCATTTCTCATTGACGCGCCTATAGACTATAACGCTAACATTTAGCGCGTCTTTACACTACGTTTGTATAACGCTAATGACGTCACGTCAAAATATATGCAAGGCCGTGCAATACCATATTTACGGAGTCGCAAAATCGGCACGGGTGTGTGATAAAAATGAATATGAATACTATTTGTTTAAAGGGACTTCACTGAGGTTTTTTGACAAGACAGGACTGGGAATTATTTTTCGAGATTAATGATAAATATGATGAATGTTTAAACCAGTAATTTGTGTGCAAACTTTCAGGTCATTTCCTCGTGACGTTTTTCCAGAATAATTATTCTTATTGTTTGAAAAGATCTGAAATTGAAAACCCTTCCACCGCTTTTCTCTCAAATCGGGCTCAGGATACCAGAAAAAATACGATTTTTAATTTATCTTTTAGTGTATTTCTTAATTATCCTATGCATATCTTTCTGTTTTAAGTTCCCTTGTTGATCAACGTAAGACATTCAAATGTGTATGTTTTTGGGACCTCAGTGGAGTTCCTTTAAGAAACATTAAATGTTTGTTAATTTGAATCAATGATTATGTGAATAGGATGTTGGCCATGCCAGCTTTTGCTCAGCAAATGCAGAAGCGATTGAAGAGACACCAGTTTGTATTTTTACATTCACCCCATGCATCATTTAGATTTCTGTAGTCAAAATTCAAACTCCCTTATAATTAATTACATCCAATAAAAGTCATTTGTTGCGTTATGTATTCCATCTTCACAGCCAAATTATCTATAAAAAGAAGCCATGTACATGAATGCTTACTATATTTGGCAATGTGTTACCTTACTTATAGTTGCTGAAGTAGTTTCTTTCTTTCAGAGTCTCAAATGTTGACATTAACAAGAATAAACAAAATCTACATACATATGAATTGATAAACAATCCATATAACTAGTTCCTACATACACAATCCATATAACAAGTTTGTGCCTGATTCATTAGTTATATAAGTAGTTTATGCCTGATGCATCAGTTATATAATATTTCCTGTTTGATACACACATATTGCATTGTCTAGAATTATGTAGCTTAGTAGATTCAAATTATTGTTTGCTCAATACATTATGCAGTGAAGAAGATCAAAACATATTGTATTGCCCAGTACATTATGTAGTGTAGTATATTTTTTAAGTATATCGTTTTTAATCCAATTAAATGCTATGCTTGAACATTTTAGTTCACATGTTACTAACAGAAATTGTCAAATGCACAGTAGATTCAAGCACAGTGTGTTTGACAGTACATAGTGGCATGGTGATAAATCATCAATTCAATATATAGGGATATAGGGATACTCAGGCAAATAAATGACAAAAATAATATTAAAATGATTTAATGTACTTAAATCAAGCTAAAATGACAATTTTTAAAGTTCCAGCATAAAATTCTCTATAAATTCTATATATTTTGGGTTTGAAACGTACATATATCTAGATATATTGAACGAGATTTAGACGCTGACAGAATCACCGAGTAGTTTTAAAACAAGCCATGTGTCTTAAACAAATCCTGGAAGTTACAACAACATATATTGTGGGTATTGTATGATAAAAATAAGTCTAAGTCATTCGTTTGACATGTTCTTTAACGTTTCCGAAGTTCACTGTAGCAACTATTGTGAAATCTTTATGCTCTAATCTGACCTACGTGGGTCAAGTTAGGAAATCACCATTTGCTTATTTATAAGGAGCAAAGTTTTGTTCCTATGACTGCATAGTGTATTTATTTGGAGGGCATTTACAGAATAATAAGTGAAAAAATCAAAATGAAGAAATAAAAATTTTGCCTGTGTCTCCCTATATATTCATAATTTTAATACATTTACTAATACAAATCATGATTGCTGTCATAGTGTCATCGTGAAACTTTTCTAAAAATAATAATTTTCTTTAAGTAATTAGATTACTTACTTTAGTACTTAAAAGTTAGGATATATAATTTTCAGGGCGTGGATTCAAGGCGCACTCGCCCTGGAAGTCCTCTTGGGACTCACATGGGTGTTTGGATATTTTTACATCAGTGAAGAAGCAATACCCATGGCATACCTCTTCACCATATTCAACAGCCTGCAAGGCCTTTTCATCTTTTTGTTCCATTGTATTCTGAATAAAAAGGTATTACATCATTTTCTAGTAAAATACTTTTCAGTATTTGCCGCCTCTGTAGTTTTATTTCTTTGGTTGGGATTTATGCCACACCACACGGTATAGATCATATGGCGACTTTCCAGCTTTACTAGAGGAGGAAAACCTCAGGGGGCTTTCCGTGCATTTCTTCAGGCACGAATGCCCGCCTGAGTATAGAGAACCACCAAAGTTACGTGAGCCAGCTGGATAGCTTCCTCAAATGAAAGAATCCAAAGTCCCTGTCGGGATTGAAGGGGGCAGTGATTTTTGTATATGAAATAATGTTTCGTGCTAAAGAAATCGTATTGATTGAAATATTGAATAAACATTGGAAACACATTATATGATCATTTCTAACAATTAGATGACCATTTGACCATATTGTAAACATGACCTTTGAAACGTGAATATAAATTTTATCTGTTACATATAGGACATTTCGTCTGTAACATATAATATACTTAATTTAATTCTGTAATATACAGTAAATTTCATCTAATAAGTATAACATAAAGTATATTTATTTAATAACATATTGTATATATTGAATCTATAGCGTGTTTATATTAATACTTATTTCAGGTTCGGAAGGAGTATGCACGATTCGTTGACTACCCAAGGAGACCAGTTTCAAGCGGGACTCACACATCCAAGGGATCCCAGCACAGTGGTTCAGGACCAAACACGGGATCGTACCACATGAACGGCACAAGGAAACACTCCGGTGGCTTTGTTTCTCTAAACAAGGACCGCAGATCTTCTTCTAGATCTACTACTTCAACTTAAAACTTAGTGCAATATTTAAGATAATACATGTATGTATATTAGATAACTATGGCCAGGTTCGAAACTTTCGTATTGACAAGTTACAAATAGTGTCTGCATGTCAAACAGACAAAACGTTCAACATCATGATAGTTTTTAGTCATTAATAACTTAATTGGTGGTGAAATGCTTTTGATATCGTAACTGAGTGAAGAATAGAATTGTATGTCGGAAAGAAAGATGTGTGCTGTTGAAGTTTTGTACGGTTTTTCTTTAAAGGCTCATTATGCCTCAGAAAGGAATAAATTTTTCCTTCTTTAGAACGGGCAAACATGAGTTTAATAATGCTTAAATAATGGTTTTGGAACTTGTAAGATGCTTTTCAACTGAAAAAGGAGTGCTTAACCCTTTACCACATATATACGCGAAACAACGCACTTTCGACCCCCCCCCCCCTTTTTAAGGCCTCAAATAGTGAAAAAATGTCTTATTTGGGCCCCAAACATAAGTTTTCGTTTTAGAAATGTTGCTAAAAAAATTGAGCACTTTTTCGGCGCCGCCCCCATCCAAAAGATACATCAGGGGGTTGCCACAAGGGGGATGTGCCCCCTTCTGTTAGGGGGGTTTGAAGGGGGACGGAGTCCCCCTCATCGCCAAGAAAATTTTGGACTTGTGAGAGGCTAAAAATGACCCCAGGTCGATTATAATGTAACGTTTAACCAACGCTGAAAAGCCTTTGACTCTATCTTAATCCCTTGAGCAGTTACAGCACTTTGAAATAAATTTTGATGGAAAAAATCGAGGCAAAATAGTGATTTTTGGCAATTTTGAGATGTCCCCTCGTTGCCATGGTAACCGGAAATTTAAGACTGAGCATGTCGTTACAAAGGCAATGGTCCAGTCAACATTTGTGCCAAGTTTGATTAGTATTGAAGCATTTTTCATAGTTTCATAGCAGTTTGAACTTGTAACAGGAGGCTTTTCAGTGAAAACGGCCATTTTTCACAATATGCTCATGGGGAAAAGGGTTAATGTGAAAATATTTTATTGGAAAGACGGAAAATGTTAAAATAGTATTTTGACTTCCATACAAAATTCAAAATCACTGTAACTTTACTACACGCAAAAAGCAATTTAAGCAAAAGATGGTTTTGATAATTGTCCAATAAGTAACTTTTTTGGAACTATATACAACAGAGCACCATAAATAAGACAGCTTTTTAGAAATAAAAAGCTTTAAGGGCATAATGAGTCTTTAGTTTCTTGAACTGTTAGATTTTAAGGGATTTGTTTATTGCAATATATTGTAGTGATATTTCTAGACCTTTTACAAATATTACGAAACAAACATTTACCTGTTGCTGTGTTTTAACAGAATATTTGTGAATCACTTTGTTTACATCGACATGAAACATTCAGTAATAATGTTTAATTGTACGATCAGTATTAATACTAATACAGTTAACTCTCAATAAGTCAAAATCGCCTAACTCAAAATACCACGTAAGTCGAAGAATTTCTAAAGTCCCGTCAAATTTACTTAAACAAAGTAAAGCATTTTCTTTAAAGTAAAACACTAGTATTTTTGAAGTCATTAATACATAAAAGATGCAAGTAATGTGTCATTATATTTTAACACTAACAGTTTTACATATATCAAAGTAGTTAACAATTTTTGAAAAAAGTAAAACCCTATCATTTTAATAAAAAAATCATAAATGAATAAAGTATGCAAATAACAAATGTATGAATGTTAAAAACATGATGTTGTTTAATAGAAAATATATTTGTCTTGTGTCTGAAGTGTGTCTTATTAATTAATGTATTGTAGTGTGTTGGTGCTATATGAAGCTTTTATTCAGCTTTAGTTATTTTCAGCTCGTCTGTTTCGAAGAAAAAGACGAGCTACTATGATCGCTGGAGTGTAGTTTTTGTAGTGTAAAAACTTAAAAGTAGCCTGCCAATTAATCAAACACTTCAAAAGTTATCACCATGGGACAAGGAATACATTGTGCAGTTTTCAGTCAAGGGGTATATTTCTGATAGTAATATTTATTGAGTAAACTTCCTTTAAATCTTTAACAAGCGAGCGTTATCACCGCATGCAGTGCTCTTGTTACATATATAGATATAATTATGTACATTAAATGTAACTATCCATGACAAACAGTGCCAAATGCTTTATATTTGTCTAAACTTTAAACCACGTTCTAGTGATATTTTTCAGTATATGTACGTAACTAGTTTATTAGTGGGACCGGTGTGAAAGGACCATAAATTTGACCAAATTATACTTCCATTCTTTCGCTTGCTTTTACATGTTTACATGATTAGTTCAATACAACCTCCACAAAGCGGCCCTCCTGACTACTTAACTCTTTACAATAACATTTTCAATTTTTCTGTATGTAATCTAGCAGCAGCAAACAAACTATTTTTATATCCAAAATGTTGTTGCTGTACAGAGATTTTAGTGTACATGGATGGTATTTTAATATGATACGAACTTGATCCTTACAAAATGTTATATTTAAAAATTTAAGGATTAATTGAAAATATACAAATCCTTGCTGAGATATATGCGTGTTATCTCACCTATTTGTCGGACTCGATTATAAGTCGACCCGATTGTAAGTCGTAGGATTAACTTTTGCTTCAATTATGTTAACGGAGGTGAATCTTGAATAAAGTTTTATTATACATTGTTTATGTAGTATGTTTAGTTCATAGAAAAATATATACATGTACATATTATGACAGCTATATTTTTCTTTATTTCAAGTGTACATTTTACAAAAGCAAATAAACGACTTTTAAACTTATTTATGTTCTTTGTCGTTGTCATTTATAAATTAGATCCGGCAACATGTATGTGTATATGATAGAAATTCAATAATAACATCGATTGCGTGTATATGCTTTATACAGTTTTACGTTTGAAAAAAAATCTTACGACTTCGTTAAAACCTAGATTGATTGCAGCAATTTAAGGCCCAAAGTCCTAACCTAAGTCAAACGTTCCGGAAATTTCCTCGAAAAATGGTTACTTTTTGTTTGTTTTTATTTGACGGAAGATTTGTTCTTTCTGTGTATAATTTCCGTTAAAAAATAACATTTGTCCAATTCCATGCATTGCGTTTTCGTTTTCCATTAATTTTGAGTCTTTTTTACAGTAATATAAGAGCCATAGCAACATGTCTTGGAGATGGTAGTGGCATTGTCGTTTTCTTGACCGGCGATATGTTCTTTTTCCATAAAAAGAATATAATTATTCGTAAAAACACCACTTGTCAACCTAACCGTTAAAGCTGCATGCCTCCAGATGAGTCAAAATATTTCAATAAAATCAAACTTGAGAATATGTACTACGATTTTAGGCAAAGTAAAATGATGCAAGATTCAAGTAATATTCTACATGTTATGTGCGATTAATGACTGATTTTTCAGTATTTACAACTATATTTCTACTGCGTTACTAATGCAGTAAGGCATATCTATGAATATTTTGACAATTTTTTATTAATTTACGTGGGTTGTAAGTGTCATTGATAATGTGTAAAGTACTTCCTTTTGGTTATTCCACAATATTATACATTCAAATACATGTTTAAAATTTTCATGAAAATAAGCATGAATCTGGAGGCGTACTGCTTTAAAGAACGAGCAAACCGTTAAAACATCATTTGTACAATGTATGATTCCATTGCAGATTAATTTTTCATTGGTTTGAATGGTCTTCTTTCAGCTATATAGGATTCAATGATGTAAAGAAGCAAAATATCTGGGAAAAGTCGTTATTTAGACAGGCGATTTGTTCTTCCTGTATATAAAATGTATACAATTTCGTAATAAAACACCATTTTCTAAGCTTACCATAAAACACCAATTATCTCATTTTGTTGCGGATTCCCTAACTCAGTGAATATGTCCGAGATATTTTCGCGTTTCATGGTCTCTATTTGAACAGGCGATCCATAAAAGTTATAGAATTTCGTGTAAAAACACATTTTTCTCCAAATTAAGATGTCATCAGAACTATTTTAAAGACCCTATCACCGAGAGTTATGTGAGATTTACTTATTCCATAAGGGTAATTAATTGCGATTAGACTTATTACATACTCCTACAACCGTTGGCTGTGTGAGCCTTACTGTACTTTTTTGTAGGCTTTCACCGTACTTTTGATGCAACTAGACCTATTGCATAGGCATATCTCCGTAATTTGTATTAGTTTTCCTAAATTTTTTGAGGCTATCACCGTGATCAAGTTGCGACTTGACCTATGATATAGGCCTGTCACCAAGCATGGTCGTTTTTTTGTTTCGGCAATTTGTTCTTTCTCTATATAAATTGTATAAAAAACACCATTTTTCTGAGGCAACCGTTTAAACACCATTTGCCAGATTACAATCGGAATCGATTTTGTACAATTTTGGAGGGTCTTCTGTGCACAATATAACACACAAAGTCCTAACTCAAGAAATATGACCTTGAGATTTCCGCGTGGCATGGTCGTTTTTGGACCGTCAATTTGCCTTTTTTCTTTCTATAACAGTAAAATGACTGAAAAAGCAACATCTTACAAACAACATCTTTCTTAACCTGAGATATACATTATTGTGATACTGTATAGAAATATAAGTAAGATTAGTGTGAGAAGTTAACGCACTATAGAGAAGTTTCTTAAATGAATTGAGGTCATGCACAATTCGTTATTGTAAAATGAACATTACATACTTAAAAAAATGTTCAGTCAACTTGATTTTATCAGTATAGATGATCTTCCTCACAGCTTTACCATAAGAAATGTAATAGCAAGAGGTCCCATTAAAATTGTCATTTTTTGGACTGGCGATTTGGTCTTTGTGTATATCAATTTGATAAATTTTCAAAAAAAAAATTACACCATTTCCTTAAGCCAACCGTTTAAACACCATTGATCTGATTACAATGCAGATTCGATTTTGTACAAATTTAGAGGGTTTTCTTTGCACAATATAAAGCTCAAAGCCGTAACCCAAGGACTTTGCCCAGAAGATTTCCGCATAGCATGGTCGTTTTATGGATCGACGATTTGTTCTTTCTCTATATAAATTGAATAAATTTTCGGAAATTTCACCATTTTCCAAAGCCAACCGTTTAAACACCATTTGTTTGATTCCAATGCGGATTCGATTTTGTACAAGTTTGGAGAGTCTTCTTTGCACGATATAAAGCTCAAAGCCGTAACCCAAGGAATATGCCCAGGAGATTTCCGCATGCCATGGTCGTTTTTTGGAATCGACGATTTGTTCTTCGTCTATATATATTATATAAATTTTCGGAAAATTCACCATTTTGCAGAGCCAACCGTTTAAACATGTACACCTTTTGTTTAATTTCAATGCGGATTCAATTTTGTACAAGTTTGGAGGATCTTCTCACGATATTAAGCCCAAAGCCCTAACTTGAGAAACACGTCCATGAGATTTCCGCATGTTATGGTGGTTTTTTTAACGCGAATCTTTTCTTCCAGTTTATTAGTAGTAAAACATTATAAAATATACTCCATATTCCAGAGCCATTCGTTTAAAAACCATTTGTCTGATTCCAATTTACAAGTTTGGAGAGTCTTCTTTGCACGATATAAAGCTCAAAGCCGTAACCCAAGGAATATGCCCAGGAGATTTCCGCATGGCATGGTCGTTTTTTGGATCGACGATTTGTTCTTTGTCTATATAAATTGTATAAATTTTCGGAAAATTCTCCATTTTCGAGAGCCAACCGTTTAAACACCTTTTGTTTGATTTCAATGCGGATTCAATTTTGTACAAGTTTGGAGGATCTTCTTTGCACGATATAAAGCCAAAAGCCCTAACTTAAGAAACATGTCCATGAGATTTCCGCATGTTATGGTGGTTTTTTGGAACGCGAATCTTTTCTTCCAGTTTATTAGTAGTAAAACATTATAAAATATACTCCATATTCCAGAGCCATTCGTTTAAAAACCATTTGTTTGATTCAAATTCGGATTCGATTTTGTAAAAGTTTGGAGGGTATTCTATGTACAATGTTAAGCCCAAAGCCCTTGCCCAAGAAATATGTCCAAGAGATTTCCGCGTGGCATGGTCGTTTTTTGTTTCGGCAATTTGTTCTTTCTCTATATAAATTGTATAAAAAACACCATTTTTCTGAGGCAACCGTTTAAACACCATTTGCCAGATTACAATGCGGAATCGATTTTGTACAATTTTGGAGGGTCTTCTATGCACAATATAACGCCCAAAGCCCTAACTCAAGAAATACGACCTTGAGATTTCCGCGTGGCATGGTCGTGTTTGGACCGTCAATTTGCTTTTTTTCTTTCTATAACCGTAAAATGACTGAAAAAGCAACATCTTAGAAAAAACATCTTTCTTAACCTGAGATATACATTATTGTGATACTTAAAGCCGTTACCCAAGGACTTTGCCCAGGAGATTTCCGCATAGCATGGTCGTTTTATGGATCGACGATTTGTTCTTTCTCTATATAAATTGAATAAATTTTCGGAAAATTCACCATTTTCCAAAGCCAACCGTTTAAACACCATTTGTTTGATTCCAATGCGGATTCGATTTTGTACAAGTTTGGAGAGTCTTCTTTGCACGATATAAAGCTCAAAGCCGTAACCCAAGGACTATGCCCAGGAGATTTCCGCATAGCATGGTCGTTTTATGCATCGACGATTTGTTCTTTGTCTTTAAAAATTGTATAAAGTTTCGGAAAATTCACCATTTTCCAGAGCTAACAGTTTAAACACCATTTGTTTGACTCCACTGCGGATTCGATTTTGTACAAGTTAGGAGGTTTGTTTTGCACGACATAAAGTCAAAAGCCCTAATTTAAGAAACATGTCCATGAGATTTCCGCATGCCATGGTCGTTTTTTTGGAACGCGAAAGCCCTAACTCAAGAAATATGTCATTGAGAGCCAACCGTTTAAACACCATTTAGTTGATTCCAATGCAGATTCGATGTTGTGCAAATTTGGAGGGTCTTCTTTGCACGATATAAAGCACAAAGCCCTAACCTAAGAAATATGTCCAGGAGATTTCCGCATGGTATGGTCGTTTTTTAGAACGCGAATCTTTTCTTCCCGTTAATTAGAAGTAAACATTTTGAAATATACACCATATTCCAGAGCCATTCGTTTAAAAACCATTTGTCTGATTCCAATGCGGATTAAGTATGGAGGATCTTCTGTCCCAAAGCCCTATTTCAAGAAATATTTTTTAGAGACTTCCGCGTGGCGTGGTCGTTTTTGAACCGTCGATTTGCTTTTTTGTCTCTCAAAAACGTTTAATGACTGAAAAAGCAACATCTTAGAAACAACATCCTTCTTAACCTGAGATATACATTATTATGATACTGTATAAAAATAAAAATAATATTAGTGTGATAAGTTAACGCAGTATAGAAAAGTTTCTGATCTGAATTAAGGTCATGCATAATAAGTAATTGTAAAATAAACGCTACGTACTTAAACAAAAAAATGTAATTATCAACTTGATTTTATAGGTTAAGATGATCTTCCTCACAGCAATATAAAACCCAAAAAGCTATACCATAAGAAATGTAATAGCAAGAGTTCTTGCTATATATATAAATTGTATAAACTTTCGTGAAAAATACACCATTTTCTTAAGCCAACTGTTTTAACACCATTGATCTGATTCCAATGCAGAATTGACTTTGTTCAAGTTTAGGGGTCTTCTTTGCACAATATAAAGCTCAGAGTATATGCCCAGGAGATTTCTGCGTGACATGGTCCTTCTCTGGACCGACGATTTGTTCTTTCTGTT